ACGGACACTAGGCCATCAACCCTCCATAGATCCCCATCAATAGAATCAATTCTACTTGAGAACCAGAGCACATCAAAATACTTCACATCCACACAATGGGATTGAAGCCAATGTAATCAAGGTCCTGAACCGAAGTCCGGATGCATATGAATGCATGATGCACACGTCAATAATCATCCTCATAATAACAATATAGGTGCATCATCATTCATCATAATCATCATCATCACAATCATCATCATATCTCATGTCATCATAGAATCCATCAAAATCATGGTATATCATCATATTACATCATAGAAATCGTCATGTAACCATGTACAGATCACATAGAACTCACAATCATACTCATATTAATTCATTAGAGAAATCACAACATCAAACATCAAGGCATCGCTGCACAAAATCAGCATTCACGAAACTCTGCTACATTCGCTGGCATGTTTGCTAGGCGAGTCTGTGACGAGTTTCTTCGCTGTGCGAAAGATTCTTCGCTAGGCGAGTTTGGGACTAAATCGTTCGCTGTGTGAAGCATTCTTCGCTAGGCGAACAACGCAATGACAGCAAAACTCAGCTACGCACCAGGATCTAAAATCATCCTAAAAGCCCCACGATTCACTTCCCCAATGCCCCAAAAATATTCCTAAATCATCCCTAAGGTCTTACAACGATAAAAGCACAAAACCTACGGTTCATTAGGCCAATCCCGCATCATATTCACGCCCTAAATCACAAATTTCCCTACAATCACCCATATTCATTAGAATTACTCACTATCTAATATTCATATCCCTCCAGGGTTAGATAAATGTCAAATCATAGTTTTTGGCCACAAAGTCCTAACTTTCCTTTTTCCCCAATGAATTCCACGGTTAGACTCACAAATAATAGATTTAGGCCACGAAGGCCAAAATCCCTTTTTCTCATATCCACCCTCAAAACACTTAACTCTTAAGTCGACCTTAAATACATTGAATTTACACATTGAAAATCATGAAGACAATACTCCCCATACCTTAATTGTCGACTCAAAGCCTTCTCAAATCTTTTAGGGAACCTTTCGAAGCTTTTGCCTCCAATCTTCCTCCTCAGAGCTCTGACCTCAATTCTTTTCACGGTCTAACAAATGAATCCTAATACCTTCATAATTTCCTTCTTGTTAAACCTAGTCTTGGGCCTCACAATTGGGCTTTTCCCATATTACCCTCACTAACTCCTCTCCATTGTCCAGTTTGCCCTTTCACTTATATTTATTTTAATCTATATAATATATAAAGGGAGTACTTTGTTTTGGTGTAGCTTATCTTTCTACCATTTTTAGCCTTACTTTATTATGTAATTTACTTAATAACTTCAATGTAACTTCTTATTATTAACTTTCACATATTGTATTTTTTTAAAATTATTTAAACAGAAAGTATCGTTTATATTTTTATTCATGCGCATTAAAAAGCGAACAGACGGGCACGCGAGTGCCCGTATGGATGCTAGTTAATAATAATACTAATATATTCATATTATATACTATTAATTAAATAAATAAACCAAAAATGCATAATTCTCAATAACTCCACAAAACCACCAAAAATCACCAAAATACAAATATTCTTATTTAAATAAATTAAATAAATATTCCAATTAAAATTTAGGGTGTTACAACTTCAACCATCACTAACAATTGTCACACCTTTTTAACTCCATGAATTTTTAATTGGATGCAATAAAGTTTCCATGTGTTTCCTCTCATTTTCAATTAATGTTGTCCTTAATTTACTATAACCACGAGGTTGGTAACCAGGAATACTATTATTAGCAATATGAATTTCAATCTCAGCAAGAATCCTAAGGTGCAATGGCAAGCTATTTGGGCAACCACTACTCATTGTATCTGGTTGTGGTGTATTAAGCGGTTATACGATGAGATTTTTTCCATGCCTCTCTATCCTGTTTCTTTCATTTGGCAACTGCTGCAACAATACAAGTTTCGATATGTGTTGATTCAGTAAAACCTTAAAAGATCAACTGAGGTTATTAGCATCAAGTGGGAGCCTCCAAATCCGATGTCGCTCACCCTCAATACGTATGAGGCGGTTGGGAAAAGAGAGTATGCTAGTTGTGGAAGGGTTTTGAGAAACAGCAGAGACAGTTGGATAAAAGGGTTCTCTAAAGGGTTGGGCAAATCCAATATATTGCAGGTTGAGCTTTGGGGGATTTTTATTGGTTTGAGCATGGTCAAGTGCAAACCTCACATGAGGATTTGTGTCCAAACTGATTATAAGCATGCTTTCAAAGCCATCACTAGAGGCGTTAAGATTGAAGGTATACAAGGTAATCTGGTGAGTTTGATCCAGTAAGATTTATGTAAGTTTAAGGAAGCCGCCCTTAAGAACGTTAAACGCGAGGCTAATTTTTGTGCTGATAGAATGGCTAGAATTAGGGATAGATATAACATGGCTACCCAAATGTATGATAAGTGTCCATTAGTTGCCATTAATGAGTTTAGAGAGGATCTTGAGGGTGTTTTGATGGCAAAGGTTGTCTCTATGTAGTTCTGGCCTTTTGGCCTCCCTTTAATCGAAAAAATATTAATATATAAAGTAAAGTTGTGGGGACCTAATATGGGTTCTTTAGAGTTGCACAATTGGAGTAAAAATTGAATGAATTATTTCAAAGCGACGTGGCTTAATAGGTCCCACAAAGAATCTAAAATTGGATTGCACCATTGAAGATGCTCTAAGTAGGCAAAAGAAAACATGCAGAGCAGATGTAGTTTAGCAAATAAATTAAGTAAGTAAAATAGAGATATGAAAGAAAACGTACCCTGTTACATGAAAAATCCATAAGCAGTAGAGAGTCAGAGATGAAAAAAAGCAGAAGCGACAGAACAGGGAAAGAAAAGAATAGTATAATTAGGGCAAAGTAATAATATTTAATTTATATATTACTTTTTTGGGCTTTGAAATTTCACTATAACCCATAAAATATTTTTAAACTTCATGTCTTTCTGTGTCCATTTAGTGTCTTTTATTTATTTATTTGGGACACGTTGTTGACACGTGTTGTATCAGTGTCTGACGCGTGTCCGACACTGACACATGCCAAACACGTGGACACACCAATTATGAGCAGCGTCTGTACTTTTCAGATGGCGATGCTCTCCATCATCCATCTACTAAGCATTTGTCTCTTCATAATGATCCTTAAAACGATTTTCAGGCTTGAGCTGCTCATAATACTGCTCGTATTTATGCTTAATAATCTCATGCTGCAAAAATACAACAACTTTTTACTGAGTTCCAAAAGCTTTTCTGGGTGACAACACACATATAAAAACTTTAAAATAAATGTGTTATGAAGCTAGTTTCCTAGTGTCTAAGGTTGGCAAACAAACATGTCCTTCCCGCAAAAACCCACAAAAAAAGAATGGTGTGAGACGAACACGAACATAGTTGAGGGTGCGAGTCTAGAACCTTGATTTTCCCTCCACTAAAATAGAGGGCGGGAGGGGGGACTGCAGACACTGAACATTTTAAGCCTAAAAATACATAATTTATGTTAATGCCCGTGTCTGCAAAAGTAAAAAAAAAAAGGTAGTGCCTAAAACCATAACCTGTCCCATACTTAAAGTGAGGAAGGGGGGGGGGGGGGGGCATTGTACATATTAAGCCTAAAAATACAAAATTTATTTTAATGTTTTTGCCCGCAAAAATAAATAAGGAACGGGGTGAGCGGTCTGCGGACACTACACATTTTAAACCTAAAAGTATAAAATTCATGTTAATGTCCGTGCCCACAAAAGTAAAAAAAAATGGGCCATGCCTAAAACCTGTCCCACGCTAAAAGTGAGGGCGGTGCAGAGAGCGGACACTGCATATTTTAAGTCTAAAAATATAAAAGTTATGTTAATGCCCGTGCCGCAAAAATCCAAAAAAAAAAAATTCAGAACAAGACAAGACAAAAACATTAAAGGGTGCAAGCTAAACCCTTAACTTGCATCGCAATAGAGTGCAGACAAAATAAACATACCAGGTCACCGAATCCGTATTACCATCCCTAACTTTTAACAATCGCAAACATAACTACCTTTAAAACAATAAAAATCTCATTAAAAAAATTAAAACAATATAAAAATTTTCAAAATCATTTGAAAGTTCCTAATTTTCTTTTTTAACTTGAGTATTTAAACCAAAGTTTTTAAAAATATAAATTTTTTGGTTATATATTAATAATATGATACGACAGAATCAATTTAAACATTGAAACCAAAAATATTAAATTGAAAAAAAACTGAAATTTTCAAAAAAAATTACTTAGATTATTCGGTCATTTATGGAGTTATTATGTGTTTTGAAAAGTAAAATTATTTATAAGTTGAAGTGACTTGAGGGGTATAGGTTTAATTGGGGATTGTATTCATAGAAATTGGACATGGGCCTTAATTAATAAACTTTCCGTCTATCAACTAAAATGGAAAATCCATTAATAATCTCCAAAATCCAAATCTCTTGCTTTGTTTGTGATAGAAGATAGAATATACATGTATTAAATATGAGCTGTGTTATTTCTACACCATTTTCACATACACCATATACACACCATATGCTACAAGAAGATAAATAGAATTAGTATGTTATAGATATACAATTATAATGTTGGCATTTGAGTGTAGGATTATCATTGCTCATTAAATATTGATCTATATAGTCTCTTATATAAAATTAAAAAGAAAAGGCAAATAACCAATATATTTTTTAAATAATTTTCTTTTTAAATAATTTTTTTTTTGAGAATAAATTATACAAACAGTGCTGCGAATTCAATCGGGAACGAAAGTCCTCGTTGTTGAAATTCTAGGGCAAGCAGAAGCTGTGTAACAGAGAACCCAAATCTCCATTTTACAGTTTTACGGTTTTCTTCTCTTCATTTTTCCCTATAAAGGCACTCGTATCTGATTATTTTGCTCGCAGAACCACTCGCGCATCACAAAATTAGGGTTTGCAATGAGTCATAGAGGAATGGACCGCGACGACGAAGACGACGAGGATTACGAAGAGCAGGGTGTCGATTTCGACGAAGATGAAGCGGATGAGGAAGAGGAGGATAGAGGCGGTGGAAAGAAGCGGAGGAGATCTAGTTTTATCGATGATGATGCAGATGAGGTAGATGAAGACGAGGAGGAAGAGGATGACGGCGATGATGATTATGACGGCGGCGGAAAAACTAGCCGCAAGCGGCAGTATAAGAAGGTTTCTGCTTCGAATTTCTTTGATGAAGAGGCTGAGGTTGATACGGATGATGAAGAGGAGGAAGAAGAAGGCGAAGACGGTTCGTTTTTTCACTTCCTAGATTTTTTTTTTTGTTTTTTGTTTTTATTTCATCAATTTCGGTTTAGATTAGGGGGAAATTAGTATTGAATTAGGGTTTAAACTATGAAGCGTGAGATTCGAGGATGATTTGTGACTGGGGTTCTCATGAGATTTGAAGTTATCATGGTTAATAAGTAGGTGCACCTGTTATTATCGGTGTTTTGTTGCAATTATATTGATTTCAGTTTCCAGAGAGTTACTTTTAAGTTAAAAAAATAGGATTATCTAAACAAGCATTTGTGTTGTTGAACTGAAATCATATATAGTAACTTTAGCTGTATATTTTGTGATACACTAGTTCATTATATATAGATTGCTTTAAGCCATTTATGTTCAGTAACTTGTTTGATATACATGTATATTTTTTTACAACGTCGGTAAAGAATTGAATTTCCTGTGTCTCTACTGTTTTCTTAATGTTGGGACATTTTTATGACATTGTTCAGCTCAGGCCCTTAGCTATATCGTATAAAGTGCGTTTGTTATCCATGTAGACAAGCTGATAACCATCTAATCATGCAGATTTCATTGTTCAGCCTGAAAATGACCTGCCTGAGGAAGATGACAATAGAGGGAGGCCACGTCATAGATTGCCGCCCCACCAAGAAGACCATGAAGATCTTGAAGCTGTGGCAAGGAGCATACAAGAGAGATATGGAAAGCATCGGTTAGCAGAATATGAAGAAGAAACTACAGATGTAGAACAACAAGCACTTTTGCCGTCTGTGAGAGACCCAAAGCTGTGGATGGTCAAATGTGCGGTATGACCCTCGCATATTTTTTGTTGTTTTATTTGTTCTGACTACTGCTCTAAGGATACAGAGTATGTCTTATCCTTTGGTTTATGTTCCTCAGATTGGCCGCGAGCGTGAAACAGCTGTTTGTCTCCTGCAAAAGTACATAGATAAGGGATCTGAGTTGCAAATTAGATCAGCTATTGCTCTCGACCATCTAAAAAATTATATATATGTGGAGGCAGATAAAGAAGCTCATGTTAGGGAGGTATAATGTGAACTATCTATTGTTTACCACACACAATTCATGCATAAAATTGTGAACTTTTTTACATGTGCTTCAGGCTTGCAAAGGTCTTCGAAATATATTTGGACAAAAAATAACACTTGTCCCAATAAGAGAAATGACTGATGTGCTATCAGTTGAAAGCAAAGCCATTGATCTTGCTAGAGATACATGGGTTAGAATGAAGATAGGCACGTATAAGAGGGACCTCGCCAAGGTATGCACAGTATTCTGGAAAATTTATGATTCTATCTCTTTCCCGCTTTTAATTTGTCACCTATTTTGTATCTCTTCAACAGGTAGTGGATGTTGATAATGTGAGGCAGAGGGTTACTGTGAAACTAATTCCGAGAATAGACTTACAGGCTCTCGCAAACAAGTTGGTATGAGATACTATTTTTGTCTTGAATAATGCATGTGTTATATTTGTTGAATGTTTTAACTTGGTAAAATGAAATAACTCCCGTCCCTATTTTCTGTGCAAAATTTATTTATCATGCAGGAAGGTAGAGAAGTTGTGAAAAAGAAGGCATTTGTTCCCCCTCCTCGTTTTATGAATGTTGATGAAGCTAGGTAATGCTGACTCATAGCTTTTGCTAATAAGTTTCTACTCTCTATGAAACTTTTTGGTTCCTGGTCTTACTGAGTTTAAGCTTTATATCAGGGAACTGCATATCCGTGTGGAGCATAGGCGTGATGCCTATGGGGAACGGTTTGATGCCATTGGTGGTATGATGTTCAAAGATGGGTTCTTGTACAAAACTGTATCTATTAAATCCCTCAGTGCCCAGAACATCAAGCCTACGTTTGACGAGCTCGAAAAGTTTCGAAAACCAGGCGAGGGTGGAGATGTAGCCAGTTTGTCAACTCTGTTTGCAAACAGAAAGAAAGGGCATTTCATGAAGGGTGATGCTGTTATTGTTGTCAAGGGTGATTTGAAGAACTTGAAGGGATGGGTAGAGAAAGTGGACGAGGAAAATGTCCATATAAGGCCAGAAATAAAGGGTCTTCCTGTAAGTATGAGTTGATATTTGACTTTTTTTTTTCACTGTATAGTCTGCCAGTTTTGCATGTTGGTGATTAGTGATAAATTGCTTTAATGATGATCTGAGTATCTTGTTTTTTCTCTCTCTTTCCATTTGCTTAGAAAACTCTTGCAGTAAATGAAAGGGAACTTGTTAAATATTTTGAACCTGGAAACCATGTTAAAGTTGTTTCTGGTGCTCAAGAGGGTGCGACTGGCATGGTTGTAAAGGTGGAGCAGCATGTTCTTATCTTAATATCCGATACCACAAAGGAGCATGTGAGTTTTATAGTCCTTTGATTGACTTGCTTAAAGACTTCTGAATTTCTACTTACATTTAGTGCAGAAATGACAACAAACATTCTCTCTTTAGATCCGTGTGTTTGCAGATGATGTTGTAGAGAGTTCGGAAGTAACCACCGGTGTGACTAAAATTGGGGACTATGAACTTCGTGATCTTGTATTGCTAGAGTAAGCATTTTTCTTATGCCGAGATAAAGCCGAAGTGCCTTTTACCTGCTTGTGTTCTGGTTCAAACCTTTCTTACTTCTAACTTAACCTGGTGCAGTAATTTGAGTTTTGGTGTGATAATCCGTGTAGAGAGTGAGGCATTTCAGGTTAGTATCTTAACGATCAAAAGTTCAAGACTTTCTCAATTGAAGTTGAGGCTTTTTGGCATTATATTCTTGTCTTTTGCCTTTGTTAGGTTCTTAAGGGGGTTCCTGATAGACCTGAAGTTGTGCTTGTTAAATTAAGAGAGATTAAGTGTAAGATAGAGAAGAAAATAAGTGTGCAGGATAGGTTTAAGAATACAATATCATCAAAAGATGTTGTGAAGATAATTGATGGTCCCTGCAGAGTGAGTTTCTGACTGTTGGCTAGATTTTGTTTTCATGGAAGTTGATATTTTTCGGATTTAACACTTCCTTTTTGTCAGGGCAAACAAGGTCCTGTGGAGCACATATACAGAGGAATATTGTTCATCTTTGATCGCCACCATCTTGAACATGCGGGCTTTATATGCGTTAAGGCCCACTCATGTGTAGTTGTGGGAGGTTCCCGCTCCAATGGTGACAGAAATGTATCCATTTTTCCTATTTTGATTCTTAAGTTTTTTTTTCCTTTCAATTTTGTTTTTATGAATTTAAAACTCCGTCATTAATGTGATGTTTTGCTTACTTTATTTGCTTCCACTTCAGGGTGATGCGTACGGAAGATTCTCCGGTCTTAAAAATCCACCTCGCATTCCACCGTCCCCAAAGAGGTTTTCTCGAGGAGGGCATCCGTCTGATTGTATGTTTAAATCTTTCCATGTGTATAATGCTAAACATTGGATCAACCTATTATTGTAATATGCTTTTTTGATAAAGTTGTTTGATGTTACTTTATATGGATGTGGTTAAGCTGGAGGGAGGCATAGGGGTGGTGGAAGGGGGCATGATGGTTTGACTGGTGCAACTGTTAAAGTTCGCCAGGGTTCGTATAAAGGTTATCGTGGGCGAGTTATAGAAGTTAAAGGAACATTTGTTCGGGTTGAATTGGAGTCTCAGATGAAGGTTGTAACAGGTAAGTCTTATAATTTGGCAAAGACCTGAGCTTCCTGCATCTTTGTATTCACATGGTCTCCGACTTGGTTATTTGCAGTTGATCGCAATCATATAACTGATAATGTGGCTGTTACCCCACAACGGTAAGTTATATCTACATAAAATTTGTGGTTTCTTGTGTGTATTGGAAGATAATGAATCACGAGTCTTGTGTTCTGCCAGTGAAACATCTCGATATGGGATGGGAAGTGAAACCCCAATGCATCCATCTCGAACTCCTTTGCATCCATATATGACTCCGATGAGAGATCCCGGAGGTATGATTGATTTTATATTTCTAGGACGTTGCTTTATATTTTTTTTGCAAGTTAAACATTTGAGTATCCTATAAACTGCTAATATTTGTTAAATGTATTTCTATTGCAGCAACTCCAATTCATGATGGAATGAGGACACCTATGCGTGATCGTGCTTGGAATCCTTATGCACCAATGAGTCCTGCTAGGTTTGTTCCAACATCATCCTTCCTTCTTAGCTTAATATGTGCTATGATTTACGCCCTAGTTTTTCCTTCTATTTTGTATGATGATTGCTGAGGATTTTTTTCAAAAGTTTTCTTGTACCAGTAAAGGTTAAGACACAATAAGATCAGCTACCAGACATTTTAATATATAACAGTATTTTAAGTTCAAGCTATTAGAACAAGAGGGTTGTAACCAATCAGTAGTTAATGTCTAAATGTATTTTGGCTCGGTATACAGTCTGCACCATCATCATTTTAGTGGTAAAGTGCATGTTTATGAATTCTGATGGTAAAATAAATTCAGGGATAACTGGGAAGATGGAAATCCAGGCTCTTGGGGAGCCAGTCCACAGTACCAGGTCAGGAGTATTAGCTAACGTCAGAAAATCTGCTACTGTAATTCATATGTGGAACCATACTGAACCATCCTGATATTTATTTTTTGTTTTTTCCTTCTATTTAATCTTTTCAGCCAGGAAGCCCTCCTTCCCGATCATATGAAGCCCCAACTCCCGGTGCTGGTTGGGCTAGTACTCCCGGTGGCAATTATAGTGAGGCTGGAACTCCACGGGACAGTTCTGCCTATGGTAATACCGCCTCTTACTTGCCCTGTGAAATCATTAGAATATTAGTCTTTAGTTTTTTATACTAATTCTATTTGGACGGATTGGGATTGTATTGCAGCAAATGCTCCTAGCCCATATTTACCATCAACACCAGGTGGGCAGCCTATGACACCAAATTCTGCATCTTATCTTCCTGGCACCCCTGGAGGACAGCCTATGACTCCAGGGACTGGTGGTCTAGACATGATGTCCCCAGTATTAGGTAAGTTTCTATATTTCATCAACCTTCAGATTTGGCATGTACAAAATATGAAAATGATTAGTACTCTGTACATGTATTTGGATGGCCACTTTTATGTTTGTCTGATTTGAATTCAGGCGCCAGCCGAATATGATTTACAGTGCAGTGGATATTTTAGTTAAAACATCATATCTCTTCCTATTAATAGCTTCTACCCCATCTAGTGCTATGAACCGGATTGTTGGAAATAGCCTTTTGTTCACATTCTGCTACGTAACAACGCTATGGACCGTTATTTGAAAATATTTTGTACTAAACAGCATATTGCAGAAAAATAATAATTTGTTCAAATGCCGCTATATGCTATAACACCCTTGTTAATCAACACCCTTATTAATGAACACCATTCTGCTTGTCCCACATTGAGTGTCGTCACTTTAGGTTAATTCAGATAGGTTAAAAAGAGTTGTAAAATAAGTAAGAGTGTAACAGTTTTACCCAAATTATTTTATTAACAATTGGGTGTTAATGATTGTCATGAATTTATGAAGGAGTATAGTGAACTTGAGAGTTATGCACGTTGTATTGATTTAGAAGATAATTTAATAATTGTTGTTACATTGAAAACATAGTGACATTTACTTTGGTACAGTTTTCTTGTTAATGTGATACTCAATAATCAATATGGGACGGAAGGGTGCTTTTCAGTTAAACACCATATGTTCCTACTGCCCACCATTTCTATTTTAGTGCTTGAGATAATATTGTGATTTTGTGCTGTAATGTGGAGATTATCCTCCTTGCATTTACCAAATGAATTCCTAGATCTATTCTTGAATCACCTTGTTTAGTAGATTGGATCGGCAATTTATTAGCAAGATTTGAAATGGCATGTTATTTCTTCCACATGCATTTGTCAATGTTTAATTTTGTTGTAGGTGGGGACAATGAAGGGCCTTGGCTTATGCCAGACATATTGGTCAATGTACACAGGGCTGGAGAAGAGTCTGTAGGAGTTATAAAAGAAGTTCTTCCGGTATGTTGACATAGAGGCGCTGTTTTACGTGTTTTGGCTTCATTAAATAAATATAGTTTTGGATTATCTGTTGAGTTTTTTATTTTTATTTTTTATTTCTCGGTTATTCTTGTGCTGGCTTATTAGAATCAGTTGTGCTGGAAATAGCAAATGAGATTAAAAGTTTAAGTTATTACATCATCATACATAAGTAACAAATGAGATTAGTGCTTAGTTGTTTCTAAGTCATCGTCATAGATAATATTGAACCATAATTGTGACTCCCAAGTCTCATTTGTTATCCAAAAACCTCACATCTTCAGAGTACTATTTTATGTTAATGCATGAAACTATCTTTTCTCGTTATGATTCTTTCAGTGGTTTGGGTTTCCTGCATTGACATTGACATTGGCATTATTTTCTTCAGGATGGTTCTTATAAGGTAGCTCTTGGGTCTAGCGGAAATGGTGAAACATTAACTGCTCTTCCTGCTGAAATGGAGGCTGTAATTCCTAGAAAGTCGGATAAAATAAAGATAATGGGTGGGGCGTTGCGTGGTTCCACTGGAAAGTTGATAGGTGTGGATGGCACTGATGGCATTGTTAAAGTAGATGATACACTGGATGTGAAGATTTTAGACTTGGTTATTTTGGCAAAATTAGCTTAACCATGATATCTTGTAGAGCAATTATTTAACATCAATGCTATATAGTACGAAGGAGAGTATTTAACGAAGATATTCCTCACTTTCTCGCTCATTATTTTATAAACCAGACTGAACTGGACAGTCTAAAAGTCGAACTGGTCCGGTTCAGTCCTAAATAAGAGGCTCCGACACAGTTGAAATTAACTATTAAAACTTGTTATTTTAGTAATTGACAAAATTATAATTTGATAAGTTAACAAATTGCAACTGATCATAACAATTTTTTTGTAAAAGTGACACTTATTTCAATCAATGTTAATTTGAAATTAGCATGTATAAGAATGCAAATTGTATTTTACTAGTACTAGGTAGCTTTAAACAATTCTAATACATACGTTTAATCGCATGTTTTGTTGTCTGAGCCATTTGATAACATTTAATAACAAAGAACTTTTGAGATTGTTAAATGCAGTATTAGTAAGACAGTTATAATAGAAATAATTTTATGTGCACAAAATTTTCTCTGCTATGCTATTCTTACATCCAATACTTACACCAAATACTATTCAAGTGTTTTTAGTTTTTTAAAAAAATAAAAGTAATATCACCAATTTATAATATGTGAACGGTGCAAGAATAATGTATAACCAAATACTATTCAAGTGTTTTTATTTTTTTAATAAATAAAAATAATATCACCAAATACTATTCAAGTGTTTTTATTTTTTTAATAGATAAAAATAATATATAGATAAAAATAATATTTATAATATGTGAACGGTGCATGAATAATGTATAACAGTAAATATTAAGAATAATTTTTAATTAATAAAATTGGTTAATACAATATATAAAGTTGTTAATCACATAATTTTATGTCAATATCATTTAATTTAAAAATTTAAAATATAAAAATAAAATATTAAAATAATATTTTTTTATTTTTTATTTAAAAAAATAATATTATATTATAGATCAACAGTTAAATATAGGTGTATGATTTTGGTTTAGGAATATTATTTTTTAATTTTCTTTTATTTCAAGCGCATACTATTTGTTTCGAAATCTGTGTACAAATTTTTACATTAGTGTTGCTTTGGTAAACGGGTACAACAAATTAATTCTTTTTTTACAATTTTCAATATGATAATATATAAGTAGAGACATGGTATCAGGAGTAACTCTTTATTATATTTAATGATTATTTGTTAATATTGAATTTTATTAATTTAAGTAGAGACATGTTGATATCAAGAGTAACTCATTATTCTATTTAATAATAATGTATTAATATTAAATTTTATTAATTTAAGTGTTGATTGTTATCGTATTATCTAAACACATTTGTTTATAAATTCAAATATCTTAGCTATATGATTTAACTATTTCTGTTTCCTTAGGTATCTCGAAAATATATAAATTCAAAACTTATAGTTATATGATTTAACTATTTCAATTTGCCTATGTTTATAATTTTTTTAGGGTAATGTTAATTTGTGCCCTTGGAGCACATGTTAAGAACTAAATTAAGAAACATTGTCTTGAAAATTGTGTATAAATTTTAATTAAAGTATAAAATTAATTTTTAAATCGTTTTTTCCAATGCAAATTTACTATAAGTGGTTTTCTTAACATGTGCCCCAAGGGCACAAGTTAATATTACCCATTTTTTTATTATATTTAATTTAACCTCTGTTTTGTAAATTTCAATTTTGAGCTTATAACTTATAAGCGCATATAACAAATTGGATTTATTAGATAATGATATTTTTATCTTGAGTTTATGGCTTATTTTTCAGATGTTATTTTATTTTAGCTTATAATATATCATCTGTTTTTCCATTTTAATTCTTATTATTTTAATAAAAATCCTTTTTTATTTTTTATAATTTAAAATTTAAAATAAAATAAATATGTATTAAATACTTTTTATGTAATTTTTTCAGTTGAACCGTTTATTTTATTAAACATTTTAATTAGCTTATTCGCGATCAGTCATCAACTATCCGCTATAAATTATAAGTTATCAGTCATCAGTCTTCCGCTATAAGCTATAAACTAATTTATCAGTTAACCGCTATTTTTATCAAACAAAATCTTAAAATTATTCAATAAGTATTAAATAGTTTTTAAAATTTTTAAATTAGTAAAATAAATTGTTTTATATAAACTTTTTAACTTGATGGTTGAATAAGTAGAAATTTTTTAATATGGAGCTACTAAGAGTATCTCCAGCGGCAGTTTTTTGAGCAGATTTCCAGCTGTTGAAGTTGGCGACTTTGGTAAACCATTGCTTTAGGATGTAACCATAACAAAACTAATTTTTCATTAAAATATGGACCATTATTGAACAATTTTTTATTCTTTGTTTTTTTAACATTTCGTTTGATTATAATAAGCTTAATTAAAAAATTGTACACTTAAATTTTTTTCACTTCATTTGTTTTTTAATTTTCAATTTCGTTCTCAAAATTTCATCATTTTATCTATATTTTAAAAATTTTCTCTCTTATCTTTTCACTTCAAAATTAATATGAAATTTAAGTTTAATTAATTAATTTTATATAATATTACTTTAAATAATTAAATTAAAATTTTAAGTTAGCATAAAATTTAATATAAATAAAATATTAATATCTGAGATAAAACTATGAGATCCAATATAAGTTCTTTAGAATTGCACCGTTGAAATTAAAATTTAATGAATTCCTTCTAGATAACGTGCTTTAATGAATCCTACAAAGAATTCAAAAATAGACTGCATCATTAGAGATAGGGGTGATAAAACGTGTCGACGCGTTTGACCCGCCATTTTTAACGGATTGGGTTGAAGTTTTCGGCTCGATACTTTAAGTTAGCCCGTCCCGCATAACCCACTTGAAAAGCAGGCTGAGGCGGGGTAGGGCGGGGCGGGTTTTGTCTATGAATTTTTTGTTAAAATTTTTTATTTTCTTACATAGAATTACAACAACTTTAATTATAAAAATAACACTCTTCTCTTAGGTTTAAGTTGATTGAATTGTATTATAAATTATTATACAGACAAAATGAATTATAATTGTAACGTTCTTTCTATAACTTTCTAATACATGTATTGATTGGAAAAATTTAAAATAAAAGAACAATTGTATGTCATGTTGAATTATTAAGTTGTCAAACATTAACTCACATGTTTTCTTTAGAAATAGATGTTGATTTTAAGAAAATAAAGGATTTGATTTGTGTAAGCGTGTGACAAATTTAATATTTAACTATTAAGGAATCAATTAATATAAAAGTCTATATGATGTAAACAGTGAGAAAGTCAGGTGTTGATATTTTATGCACTGTGATGTTTTATGCAATGTAATTGTTATAATTGTTTGCCTTTTGTAAATTCTTAATTGGGTTCTTTTAATAGTTAGTTTTTAAATATGATTATAATAATATGTATTGTTCATTTATTTTGATACGTTTTTTTTACTGTGCTTGAGTTTATTTTGTTATTTTGTTGTTGTAATTGATCTTTATTTATTTCATTTTTTGAACTGTTTGGACTTAAGACATGTTGAAGTTTTATTATGCGTTCTTAAAAAATTCTTTTGTCGACCTCTTTGGTAGTGAATAAATTATTTGTAAATTATATAGTAAACCAAATTGTAAAATAAAAAATTAGCGAGCTGATCCACCAACCCGCCAACTCGTTAATAAGCGGGTCGGGTTTGACTTTTGAGTTCAGACACCTAAGTTGACCCGCCCTGCCCCACTTTTGGACGGACTTAAACGGGGCGGGGTTAAATGGGGCGAGCTTCCCACTTTGCCACCCCTAATTGGAGACACTCTAAGCAGAACTCTACTTTTAGAGTTAAAATTTGTTCACTCTGTTTTTTTATTGAAAAAACAGATATAAAAAAATAATAAAAGACAATAACAACAATAAAATACAACAAAACAAAAATAGGTCTTGGGAATTTTACAATCGAAAAGATTACTAATTTATATCGACTTAAGCTACTGAATCACAAATGAATAATCTATACATCTTCAATTACAACCGCCACTTTAAAAACGAAAAAATTCTTATCCTTTTCTATGGAGTGGAAAAACACTATTTAAAAAACTAATATGCCTGTCAGATTCTGAAGATGCATCTTCCAACGCAACCTTACACCTAGAGTTATCAAAATGGGCTACCCAACCATACACGGACAAGCTTTGGTGGACCTCAGACTTTTTAGGCTTGAGCCAAAAAAGCCTTGTTGTAATATGGGTTTAAAATTTACTACTAGAGTCCGGACCTAGATGGACTTCGGGCTACCCGGTCCAAAATAATTTTTTTAAATAAAAAATTAAAATAAAAACTCCATAATATATATTATAAATGAAATTAAAAATTATATTATTTTAAATATAATACATTTTTAATTACTATATTATATTTTATAGATAGTTTAATGTATTTTTAAATACAATACATGTCTAAATTTTATAAAATAATACTCAAATATTTAACATAATATAAACTAGTAAAACAAAGAAAGATGGTTGATTTTATTAATGTATAAGATTTAAAAGAGAAAGGCTAAATATTATAGAGATAAAATTTAATGAGGTGAGAAAAATCAATGTGTTGTTTTATATATATATATATATATATATATATATATATATATATATATATATATATATATATATATATATATATATATATATATATATATATATATATATATATATATATATATATATATATATATATATATATATATATATATATATATATATATATATATATATATATATATATATATATATATATATATATATATATATATATATATATATATATATATATATATATATATATATACGGGTCTAATGGACTACCCACGGTCCATACGGGTTAATCCTAATGGATAACGGGCTTTTTAGGACTGGGCTAAAAAAGCCCTGAAAAACACGGGCTCTAATTTTAGAAAATTTTACCCCATACCCCATCATTTATTCCCCTACCCCTACATTATATTTTTTTTTTTACCAAA